AGCACCCTGAGTCTCTCCAGCCCCAGCACTCGCAGCCCCCAGCCTGGCAGTGAACCCGAGTGCCAGACCTTCACCTGCTCGGGCAACTGCTCCAGTGGCATCTCCTCTGCCTCTCTGTCTCACGGCTAAGAGGGAAAAAGGCAGGAGGGAGAAGAGGAAGATGAAGAGGAAGAGGACAGGGAAGGTGGAAGAGGGAAGGGAGGAGCACTGCCCGCGTTGCCCACCTGCCCGCAGTCCCCGGTGGAGTGTAACAGCGCCGCTGCTCGCCCCAGGGCCGCCCCGTCCGAGCCACGCCCGGCAAGAACGCGGAAGGCGGAGGCTGAGTCATCACCCGGATGGTAATCCAGACACAGCAAGGAGGGCCCAGGGCAGAGGTGGGGGTCCCAGCCGGGTACCAGCGGGGTCACGGGAGACAACTGCGAGGGTCCCGATGGGTACCGGGGGCGTCACGGCACGGCAGCCAAAACAGAGCCCTGTTGGGAGCACTGGTGGCTGTCGTAGCTTAACCCCAGCCAGCCCCACCTCGCAGCCGCTTGCTCATCACCCACACCCCTCCAACCCCCATAGGAACCAGGGAGAGTAAAAGCCAGAAAAGTCATGGGTTGAAAGAAACAGTTCAATAGGGAAAGCAAAAGCCGCACATGCAAGCAAAAGCAAAGCAAAGCTAGGAATTCATTCCCTGCATCCCGTGGGCAGGGAGGGGTTCAGCACCCCTGAGCAGGACCCCTTCACACGGGGCAGAGACTCGGGAAAAAATAGGCCATCATTCCCAAAATCTCCTCCTTTGTCCATTCATCTGTGTCACACGGTCTGGGATATCCCATCGGGCCAGCTGGGTCACCTGTCCCTGCCCCGTCTCCTCCCACACACTCCCAAATCCCTCCCCAGCATGGCCCCGTGAGGGCCAGGAAAGGCCTTGGGCTGGGCAAGCTCAGCACTAATGAAACCCCCCCGTACCATCAACCCCGTGTTCGGCACAAGCCCAAAACACATCCCCAGAGCAGCCCCTGGGAGGAAAATTATCTCTACCCCAGCCCAAAGCAGCACAATGACTGAGAGGAATATGACGGGTTTGTCTTTACAAACAAGCTGTGGGTCTGCTGATAAGATGCAGCTATCAGTGAGAGACACCAGAAACAATGGGATGGATTCCACTAAAAGATGAAAGAGGCACTGAAAGAGCACCATGAATTCCACAAAAGTTAAGAATTAAGAAGGGAATATGCATTGGGGGTGTCTCAGGTATCAGGTGTTCCGGGCAGTCTGTACCTCTCAAGTACCTCAGCCTATGGGGAAAGAGAGAAGGGACAAGAGGCCGGGAATTAGGACAAAATGGAGGCTGCGCCCTCCAAAAATTTGAGAGACCCCAGGGGAATGCCCCATGGCCTCTCTTTATTCGAACAAAGAAAAAGGAGTCCTCTGTCTCCTTTTTGGACATAAACCTCTGGTGTTTGTGGATTAATTTTCCTGACAATGACCAACAGCTGTGAGGAGAAATCAGACCAGGCCCCCCCAGCTGGGCCAGCCTGAGCCCCACCATCCCCCCTAGCAAGGGAGAACACCCCACAGAGGAGCAGATCCCCCAGATCTCAGCTCCCTGCTGCCATCGGGTGTCCCCACATTCAGGGCAGTGCAGGCAGCGGGGCCACATAGGGCACTCCTGGACCTGGACCCTGCTCCCATGGCCCTGGACATGCTGGCACTGCCCTGGAAAGCCAGAACTCAGGGCGCTGGGGAAACACTTGCTGCCTTGTTTACCAACACTGTTGCATAATGCGACATATTTGAGGTAAATAACAGAGAGAATACAGGAACTGAAACTCAACTGAGTGTGGGGTGAGCCCTGAGGTCACACATGGGGCACAGCACGGGACACACAGCACTTGTCAACCCAGCCTGTCACCTGACTCAAGGTGGCACAAGGTGAATCATCCATGGTGAAGCCAGAGGTTGTGCAGGGGCTGTGGGGGCACCTCCTGCCCACCCCCAGTGCCGTCATCGGCCTCTGTCCAGTGCAGCCCAGGCGGAGGCACTGCCCAAATGGCCTCTGTGCCCGCAGCCACCCCCGAGCTCCTCATGCTTGGAGTCGTGGCCAAGGCCTGTGTGCTTCGGAGGCAGAGCCTCTCGGCGGCCGGAGGGTGCTCAGGCTGGTATTTTGGAGGGTTTTGGCCACCCTTTGTGGGTGATGGGATGCTCCGGGATGCAGCCGAGGCTCAGGGGTTTGGGCTGTGGGGGCACCTGGGGAGCTGCACCCTGACTGTGCCAGGGAGCTGGCCTGCAGTGAGCTCTGCTCCCTGAGCACACCCAACCCCTTTCTGCTCTCCCTTTCTGCCTCTGGCCACTGCTGCCAGTGGACACAGAGCAGTAACCTGCCTGCACAGCCCCGATGCCCTCAGCCCTGACCCTGACCTCACCAGGACCTGACTCTTCCCAGCACATTGGAGATTTATCCCTTCACCAGATTTCAGTTGGATTCAGGCCAGTGAGGGGTTCAAGGGATGATTTAGCTCTACAAGAAGCCCAGGGAACAGCCCTGTATTCCCTCCCAGCACACCCCATCTGCCTATCCCCCCTCACTCACCGATTCTGAAACTGAAGCCAAAATACTTGAAATTCCTAGAAAAGTCGATGGTGTCACCTTTTGCCAGTGCTGCAGGGAGGACAGAGCAGTGTTAGGGTGCTCTCTGTGACCCACATCTTCCCCTGCCACCAGCACCAGAACCGACCTCCCCAAAAGCACTCAGCAACCTGAGCAGGGAATGAGGGCTGGGGGTGCAGGGCTGGGAACACCCCATGGGCAGCAGGAGAGGAGCAGTGTGCAGGGCTGCAGCAGTGGGGGCAGGCAGAATTCCAGGCAGTGCCCAGTGCTGTCCCTTCCCTCTCTGCAGCTCCCCAAGTGAAGCCAAGCGCTGCTCATCACGTGCCAAACTCTCACCTACAATTGCAGGTCTAATGATGATTCCAACGAGGAACGCAACAGCAACATGAACCAAATCTAAGAAGGAAAATGACAGATGGACAGGAGTGTGGGCACTAAAGCTCCTCCTGGCCAGAACCCAGCGCCCTGTGCCGGGCAGGGCAGGGGCCCGGTGGCAGCAGCAGCTCTCCCAGCACTGCTTTCCTTCAGCCCTGCAGACTGTCAGGAGGAGAGAGGGGACAAACCCCGGGGTCCCCATGTCCCCTCTGCAGTCTCACGACAGGGCCCTCCCACGAGCCTCCCAACCTACCCATGGTCTGCTGGCCTGGACTGAGAGCTATGCTGGGTCCTCTGTGAGCCTGGTCCTTCTAGAAATGAGAACATGAAGTTTTTCCGAGGGCAGCGGGTGGGGCTGGCAGGACTTTGGTGTCCTGCACAATCGTGCCCAGCCACACCTGTGTCACCCAGGAGCCCCGGTCTCCCACACAAGCAGGTACCCCTCAGAGCCTGCCTGGGTTCCTGCCTGGCCCAGGTTTTGGCTGGCACAGTGAGGTGATCAGCCCCTCGTTATTGTCCCCAACTTCAGAGAAAGGGTGCTGTCCTCAAACACCCACCGTGGGGACACAGCAACTCCACACCACTCACCTGTCCTGTGTGTACTGTGCTCTGAGGGTCAAGGTGTTGCAGAAAAGATCCCAACAGGGAAGGTCAGGATGTGTAATTTACGGGAAATTGCCCAATCACTGAGTTTCACTTTCATTTTCATCAATTCTTGATGTCACTGTCTTTGCTGAAGCAAGGCTCGGGCTCACCCATGTCCATTGGACCTTGGGGTTGTCCCTTCAGAGAGCCTGTCATTTTCCACTGAGAGAAACTGTGAGCCTGAAATTCCTGAGTCTGAAAAGTTTTTCAGCCTGCCAGTGGCTGATTTCTTTCCCAAGGGAAGATTTCTTGGGAGGATTTCTTTCAAGGACAAATTCTGTAAATAACTTATGTTTCTCAAAACAAATCTGTACAGCTGTGCTGATTATGTTTCTCTTGTTTCACCAATGGGACTAGAGAGGTGTTGTTCTCTTTTACCAATCATGTTAAGTCTGTGTCTCAACACAGTATAAAAGGTACTAAAAAGTAGACAATAAAGCCTTCCGAGCTCCTTCTGCCTTTGGAGTCATGCCTCTTTATTTGGTGTCCAATAGCGACATCTGGTGACCCCGACTTGTGAGGCTACAACAGTGTAACGAGGTACCGTGCTTCATCCCCCGATTTAGCAAAGGGGTTTTTCGGTCTGGCTCGCGGGATTCTGCCTGCACGCTCTCCTTTGCTGATGAGGCCAATTTTGATAGTCAGAACACCTTTCCCAGTGAGCTGCAAGCATGATAACAGCTATGCTAACTCCAGAGGATTCCCTAGTCCTGGATTTATGGGCGGACGTTCTCCAGCGCTGCAGAGTGGACATTCCTAGAGCCGATTTTGAGGTTTTCTGTCTCTGGGGAAAAAGGCATGGTTTTTTCCCTAGCGCTGAAAAAGCAATGTCGAAAGACTATCGGCAGTCCCTAGGCGATGCTTTGTTCCAATTGCTGTTTTCTGGAGACATGGAGGTGGCAAGACTGCTTCTGCCCTGGAAAAAATTTATTACCATGCTTTAGAGCTATGGAGAGAACTCTAACTCTGACATCTTGACTGAGGAAGAGGTCTCAGAGTGCAGGATTCTCTCTCCCACCCCAGGGATCCAGCCCTGAGCATCCCAGCCACAGCTCCCAGGACCCAAGACAAGTCCCCAGCCCAGCAGGTGCAGCGGGGCAGAGCGTGTCTGGCAGGACCAGCACCCCTGTCCCACCCCAGATCAAACAGACTGGGTGTCCTGAGCCTGAGGCTGCAGAGATGCACCCACTGAACCTTGGGGCTCTGTGGCCCTGCAGCGCAGTGTGATGCTGCCATGAGGATTTGTTGTAGCAGTGCTGGGGTCCCAGGGACTGCCAGGACTGTCAGGATTCAGTGGGAGCCAGCCCCTCACTGTGCGGGGGGACAGGGAGCAAGGCTGGGAACACTGCCTGCTGCAATCCCTTCCTGGAGCACAGCAAACCCCCACGTGCTGGGCAGGTACCTGAGCCACAACACCCACCAAGCATCACCACACACAACCACACAATCAATGTACTTTTGTTAAAGCTTTCAAAGCATTTATTGCTCAAAGTAATCAAAATACTGTTAAAGGGGAAGCTGGGGGGGCTTTCCAGTTCCAGCAGTGGGAAGACATTGAATCAGGCTACTTGAAAGGAAAGAAATCTGCTTCTGTTCACTGCTATGGTCACCAGGAGTTCTTTTAACAGACAGCACAGTGTCTGCTGCTGCTGCTTGCAGGGCAGAGTCAGGCCTTTTGTTTTTTCCCTATAAAGACAGGAGTGTGATGTCACAGAAGTATCAAGGCTGCCTCTTGATGGACAAGCTCAAGGCAGGGACAGCCAGCAATGTCTCACCAGCGAGTTGGCCTGCAGAAGCTCTGCTTCCTGAGCACATTCAACCCAACCCCTTTCTGCTCTCCCTTTCCACCTCTGACCAGTGCTGCCAGTGGACACCAAAGTTCTTGCCACAGAGCAGACACCTTCCTGCACAGCCCCTGATGCCCTCAGCCCTGACCAGTACCCCAGCATGTCCTACCCCTTCCCACCACATTGGGATTGATCCCTGTCCCATAGTTTGGGCACAAACAGAAAAAGAAGTGAGGGGTTTAAGGGCTGCTTTGGCTTCAGTGTAAGCCCAGGGTACAACCCCATGTCCCACCCAGCACAGCTCAGGTCCCCTGTCCTCCACACTCACCAACACGGATACGTACACCCTCAGCATTTATAGAGAAGTCCATGGTGTTATCATTTGCCAGTGCTGCAGGGAGGACAGAGCAGTGTTAGGGTGCTCTCTGTGACCCACATCTTCCCCTGCCACCAGCACCAGAACCGACCTCCCCAAAAGCACTCAGCAACCTGAGCAGGGAATGAGGGCTGGGGGTGCAGGGCTGGGAACACCCCATGGGCAGCAGGAGAGGAGCAGTGTGCAGGGCTGCAGCAGTGGGGGCAGGCAGAATTCCAGGCAGTGCCCAGTGCTGTCCCTTCCCTCTCTGCAGCTCCCCAAGTGAAGCCAAGCGCTGCTCATCACGTGCCAAACTCTCACCTACAATTACAGCTCCTATGGCGAGTCCCACAAAGAATGCAATGGCAACCGGTAAAACGGCTAAGAAGGAAAATGACAGATGGACAGGAGTGTGGGCACTAAAGCTCCTCCTGGCCGGAGCCCAGCGCCCTGTGCCGGGCAGGGCAGGGGCCCGGTGGCAGCAGCAGCTCTCCCAGCACTGCTTTCCTTCAGCCCTGCAGACACGTGGTGGGAGAAGGGAGAAGGGACAAACCCCAGGGTCCCCGTGCCCCCCACGATCGGTCCCACTGCAGGGCCCAGGCCCCTCACCCCACGTCACCCAACCTACCCATGGTCGGCTGGGCGGGAGCGAGAGCTGCGATGAGTCTGCACTAAACCTGGTTCCTTGGGAAGCAAGAACAAGATTTTTTTCCGTGGGTGGCAGGTGGGGTCATCGGTGTTTTCCGCCCCGCAGGATCGCCCCCAGCCACCCCTCTCCCACCCAGCAAGCCGTCCCTTCTCCTTGAAAGCAGCCCCAGCCCGGGCTCCTGCTCGGCACAGGGCTCGGTGGCTGCTCAGCGAGGTGAGCAGCCCCCCATTACTGTCCCCCCCTCAGAGAAAGGGAGCTGTCCGCAAACACCCACTGCGGGGCCGCGACACCCGACGCCAACTTCTCGGGTGTCTCTTGTGCTCTGAGGGGAGGAAAAGATGGCGTCCGGAAAGACTGAGTTAGGGTGTGTCCAAGACGATGGTTATCGAGAAGTTTCCGACACTACTCGTTGAGTTTCACTTTCTCATTTCCTCTTGACGCTGCTGTCTCTGCTGGAGCGGGGCTGGGGCTCTCCCGTCCTCGGGGGTCGGGCTCTAGGGGGTCCCCCAGGGAGGCCTCGGACGGGAGGTGCGGGAGCTGAGGGGGAAGGACGCGCCGGGCTGGGGCTCCTCGGGCCTGTGCCGGGCTGCTGTGGCTTCACGGGGCCTTTCCCGACCGGTCAAACACCGCGGCTCTAACGAGCACCCACAGCGGTCTGGAGAGCAGAGCTGCAGCCGCTCCACCTTTTTCCTCCCCACCGGGCAGCCTCAAAAACCAGCCAAAGCCCCACTCTGTACCCCCCGTTTGTCCCGCTCCCTGCACCCACTCCTCACCCCGGGCCCGCTCAGGGCAGCACGGCGGCGGCGAGGGGCAGCAGGTGCCGTAGCTCATGCGCCGCTGCAGCTGGTTGAAGGGGACCAAATCCAGTTGCAAGTTGATCTGGTTCCTTTTTACCAGCCCCAGGGACGCACCGTGTCTCCGGAGGCGCCGTCTGCACCGTGCTGATGATGGGAGCTCCCGGCGTGGGGGTCCCAGCCCAAAAATACATACTTCTTAACATTCCATAACGCCGGTCGGCTCCATATGGGCATATGAAGAAGTATGTAGGGTTGGGAGGGAGAGGCGGACGCCGCGGTGCTGGGGGCACAGGGCTGTCTCTCTCCCGGACGTGTCCTCCAGCTCCAGTGAGATCCTGGAAGGAGCCGGTGGCCATGGTGAAGCCAGAGGTTGTGCAGGGGCTGTGGGGGCACCTCCTGCCCACCCCCAGTGCCGTCATCGGCCTCTGTCCAGTGCAGCCCAGGCGGAGGCACTGCCCAAATGGCCTCTGTGCCCGCAGCCACCCCCGAGCTCCTCATGCTTGGAGTCGTGGCCAAGGCCTGTGTGCTTCGGAGGCAGAGCCTCTCGGCGGCCGGAGGGTGCTCAGGCTGGTATTTTGGAGGGTTTTGGCCACCCTTTGTGGGTGATGGGATGCTCCGGGATGCAGCCGAGGCTCAGGGGTTTGGGCTGTGGGGGCACCTGGGGAGCTGCACCTGCGAGGAGCTGGCAGCACAGCCAAGCACGGATGGACAGCAGAGGTGGGTGCCTGTGCTTGGAGCCACTTCCACAGGGGGAATCCCAGTCGGCCGTGCCTCTTGGCTTGGTAGGGCTCCCCCTGCTGCTGCTGCACTGGGTCAGGATGCACCAACTCGTTTCCCTGTCCCCCTGCAGCCCCCAGAAGCCCCAAACGCTACATCCCCTCATCTGTGCCTGAGCAGTGGTGCAGGCTGGTGCACATGGAGTCAGCATAGGGGAGCTCCCACACACCTCCCACACCCATATGCCCCTGCCCACCTCATTTGCAGGGCCAGGAGAAGGAGACAGGAGTCAGGGCCACTCCACCCCCCACGTAGCAGCTCTGAACAGGGAAGGCTGGAGGTGGCTTTGCCCATGGGAGGAGGGATTCAGCTGAGAGCTCCGAGGCTTGAGACCCTAAGGGGACTATAGGGGGGCTTCCTGTCCTCAGTGCTGCTTGGCCATGGCAGGGTGACAGAGGGCACACACCTTGACTTCAGTGACCTTCCCAGCCCTAAATCTGCAGCTGGAACGGGACAATGGCAGGTACAGGGAGTGTTCCTGGGTTCCCAGGGGCTGACCCCTCTCAGGACAGGAGAGCGAGGGGTGTGTGGGGGTCTGGCTGTGGGCAGGAGGGGTTGACCAGGCATGGTGTGGCAGTGACTCAGCAGCAGAAGCTGGGTCCACATGCGCCGCAGCTCCCTGCAAGGAGCCCATGGGTGCCAAGTACAGTCTCACGTCACTGGCCCAGCTCACATCACCCACAGGCAGCAGTCGCTGCTCAGTGGCCCCCCAAGGCACGAACCATTGCTGTGGGGCACACTATGACACAGCCATGCTTCCCCCAGGATGCTCTGCCAGCACCCCAGGAGCTCCTGCATGGCTGGTCCCCAGGGATCCAGCCCTGAGCATCCCAGGACCCAAGACAAGTCCCCAGCCCAGCAGGAGCAGCGGGGCAGAGCGTGTCTGGCAGGACCAGCACCCCTGTCCCACCCCAGATCAAACAGACTGGGTGTCCTGAGCCTGAGGCTGCAGAGATGCACCCACTGAACCTCGGGGCTCTGTGGCCCTGCAGCGCAGTGTGATGCTGCCATGAGGATTTGCTGTAGCAGTGCTGGGGTCCCAGGGACTGCCAGGACTGTCAGAGCCAAAAACTCTTGGCTGCACCCACCCTGAAACTGCAAAGCCAGGGCACAGCATCCAGGCTCTCACATTGCAGCTGAGTTCATCTCAAGTCACCTCGGCTGACCTTGGGCAGCCTCCCAGGACTGGGTACTAAAGATACCCCAGCCCCAGTGGCCCACACAACCCCATCTCATGGCATGGTTCCCACAGCCCTCGGCTGGGCTCTCCCAGTGACCTTGGAGGGCTGCACCCAGCTCCAGGGGATGCTCGCTGCTTCCAGGGCACCTCGTGTCCCCCAGCTCCAGCCCAGGCACCCCCTGCCTGTTCCCACCACCTCTCCTTGCCCCTGCCGTGTTCCACAGAGCGGCTTTGCCCCACTGCCCTCTCTGTGCCCAGACATTACCAGTCATCACCACCAACCCCTCTGCAGCCCCGGGCGTGCCAAAGGCATCCCCGAGCCCTCCCCAGCCCCAGCGCTGCCTTTGACAGCTGTAGACCCCGAGCAGAAACCCACCAGGGAGATGTGGGCTGGCGCAGCGCCTCTTCCACGAATTCTCCATGCCCTCAGGCCGGCTGTGAGTCCTCGGCCAGGGCAGGGCCCCGTGTTCTCCACCTGCCCCGAGAGCAGCTCCCTGCCCGGGCAGGATGGTTTGTAGGCACCACACGGCTTTGCAGGGGGAGGCGGTGGAGCCGGGGAGCTGCCGGGCCGGCCGTAGTGGCACCCACGCGCCCGCAGGCACCCAACAACAACCCCATCTTGGCTATAAAAGGAAGAATCTTTTTTTTCCCCCGGCTTCGCCAGCGCTGCGTCCCTGGCCACGCTCTGCAGCCGCTGCCCCGCAGGGACATTTACAAGTTTTCCCATCCAGCGCTGCCCCCTCCAGCCGGCTTCCCCCGGCTCATCCATCCCCGGCAAACCCACTGCAGCAGCTTCTGAGTGACTTAAAAAATACCAAGAGGACCAGCAAAGAAGAGGGAGGTGGGTGCCTGGGGAAACACCCCGGCTCCCGTCCTGCCGTCCCTTGGCCCGCGGCATTGCCCGTGTCGAGGCGGTGGGCGCATGACCCCGGTGCACCCGGCCGTGGTGGTCAGCACTTTTCCCCGTGCGAGTCCAAAATGCTATGCCGAGGTGCCCAGAAGTTGGGTTTCCCTTCCCACCTTATCCCACAGGCTTAGGGTGTCCCCACTTTGCGTGGCGGAGGGCATCTCGGCTGCTGGGGAGGCGATGGCCG